GCTGCGACTATCGAGCCTTGAACAAGATTACTGTAAAGAATAACTATCATATCCCACTGGTTGCGGATTGCTTCGATCGACCGAGTCGGACGAAGTATTACACAAAAATTGATCTTAGGTCCGAATACTAGCAAGTTCGGATCAAGGAGGAGACGAAGCAAAGACTACGGTGGTAACCATATATGGAGCCTTTGATTTAAAGTATTGCCTTTTGGTTTGACAAACACTCCAGCAACATTTTGTACTATGATGAATCAGGTACTTCACGGGTTCTTAGATGATTTTGTCATGGTATACTTGGATGACATAGTAATCTATAGCGAGACATTGGAGAAACATGTCCAGCATGTGAGGCAAGTTTTTAATCGGCTACGGGAGAATGAACTTTATGCTAAGCCGTCTAAATGCTCATTTGCTCAGACATCTATCAGTTTCTTGGGTTACATCATTGAACAAGGTAAAATTCGCATGGATTCAAAGAAGGTTACAGCTATCAAAGATTGGCAACCACCAAAAACTGTACATGATGTACATTCATTTCTTGGGTTATGCAATTACTATCGAAGATTTGTGAAAGGCTACTCAAAAATTGCACTGCCACTTACTGAATTGACAAATAAGGATAAGGATTGGGATTGGTCATCCCAATGTCAAGTTGCTTTTGAAAGGTTGAAGAAGTCCATGTGGACGAACCCAGTTTTAGCCTTACCAGATATGGCTAAACCATTTGAAGTTCATACAGATGCTTTAGAATTTGCACTTGGTGGAGTCCTCATGCAAGAAGGACATCCGGTAGTATATGAGAGCCGAAAGTTAAATCAGACAGAACGTCGTTACTCGACACATGAAAAGGAATTGTTGGCAGTGGTCCATTGTCTCAGAGGATGGCATCACTATCTACTTGGGTCTCCATTTATTGTGAAAACAGATAACACTGCAATTAGTCACTTTATATCCCAACCAAAACTATCGAGCAAACAGGCTCGTTAGCAGGAATTCCTTTCAGAGTTCAATTTTATGTTAGAGTATCGTCCTGTCTCTAGTAATCATGTTGCTGATGCTCTTAGTCGACAGGCCGATTTAGTTACCATCTGCTCCGTAGTTACTCTTTCAGGGAGCGCAGTCTCCACAAACACTAGAGACCAAATTCGGGCACTTATGGAAAAGGACCCGGCTACCCAATATTTGGTCGACCTCATCAAGCAGAGTAAAACTCAACAGTTCTGGCTCGATGGAGAACTAGTGAAGATAAAGAGAGACCGCCTATATGCTCCTAAGGGCGGAGATCTGAGGAAATCACTAATTACAAAATGTCATGACACAATTTGGGCAGGGCATCCCGGAGAGAAACGCATTTGTGCACTACTGCAACGTGCATATTACTGGCCTCAAATGCGGGACGACATTGCAACATATGTAAAAACCTATCTTATTTGTCAACAAGATAAGGCAGATCATCAGAAAAATGCGGGCTTGCTGGAGCCCCTTTCTGTCCCAACCCAGCCATTCAAAAGTGTATCGATGGACTACATTATTGGGTTGCCAAAAGTTGAGGATTTTGGCACTATCACTGTCGTGGTGGACCTTCTATCAAAATATGCAACTTTCATTGCAGCGCCTAAGTATGTAACTGCGGAAGAGACAGCTCAACTCTTCTTCAAACATATTGTCAAATACTGGGGGCTGCCTAAGGACATCGTCAGTGATCGAGATCCTCATTTCACTGGCATATTTTGAACTGAGTTGTTCAAATTTCTTGGTTCAACTTTGAGCATGAGTTCTAGTTTTCACCCACAATCTGACGAACAGACGGAGCACTTCAATTCTAAGCTAGAAGAATATCTTCGGTACTTTATCTCTACTTCGCAGAAAAACTGGGTAAAACTTTTGAATGCGATCCAAATTTGTTTCAATGTCCAAAAGAGCTCTTCTACCAATAAGAGTCATTTTGAGATTGTTACTGGCCAGCAACCCCTACTTCCTCATACAGTGGATATCGAATGAAGTACCAAGTCCCCTCAAGCAAAGAACTTTTCTCAAGAGTGGAAACGAAACATTGAAATTGCTCGGAGTTATCTTGAGAAAGCTCAAAAATGGTATAAAAAGGCTGCAGATCTAAAGCGTCGTTCCATTGAATTCAATGTTGGAGATCTGGTAATGGTTAAGCTTCCCGAAAAAAATGTTTACAAACCAACAAGAGGGAAGGACTCAAGATTGTCGCCAAAATACATTGGACCATTACCCATCGTGAAGAGGATTGGAAGAGTTGCATACAGAGTTGAACTCCCTTCATGGTGTAAAATTCACAAGGTCCTTCATGTTAGTATGTTGAATCCATACTTTGCGGAGAAGGAGGACGCATCTAGAAATGAGCCAAAGCGACCTGTGTTTGAATTGAAGAAAGCTGGAAAGAAGGTTGCTGAAGCTATTCTTGACCATTGAATCACTCGAACTTCTAGAAAAGATCATCAGGAGTACTTGATCAAATGGATGGGATGCAGTAGCGAGGAGAATACTTGGGAAAGAGGAAAAGATCTCGGAGCCTTCAAATCATTAATTGAAGCATATTATGCATTGATGGCACCGAGGACGTCGCCAAAACAAATGGGGGAGAATGTCAAGGACTGCAACTTTACCTAGCCCCTTGACACTATTGCAGCCGCAGTTTG